TTAGCCAGATTAATTGATCAACCGCATTGTCATTCGATGCATTTAATACAAATGAATCAATATTATTTTGTGTAAAACTGTGACGGATCTTCATACTTCTTTCGATCTAATGGAACTTTTCTCCATCTGCTCATGACGACTTAAAGTAGCAATGATATTCAGATCATTACGAGATGACTTGGATATTTAATATTCTACAAGTTACACTTCATAGTGTGGAAAGATACAATGAATTATACACGTGCAAGTCTACTAGTTTATTGCTGCTGAGTTTACATGCGTGATGTTTCCTTGCTCAATATCTCCGTGAAGGCAACAAAGTATACGGTACAGTTCATCTCAAGATGATAGACTCCACTCAATGATATAATAAGCATATTGTATAGGTCATCTCATGATGAATTGATGATAGATTACACTCAATGATAATAAATATGTTGTATAGGTCATTTCATGATGCTAGGCTCCACTTAAGCAGCGATTAACAATCGTGATGTGCAACTTGAAATTTAAAAAAGATCAGATCATTTCTTTCAGTGCAAATTGTGATTGTTAATAATAAGCGGTGACCGTGATAGATAGACGGTCACCAAGATAAAAAGGCGGTGAACGCGATATATAGGCGGTGACGCCCCGAACTGTGCCTCAAAAAAAAAAAAGGAAGCTTTTCTTTTTTCTTTCTAATTTATTCTTATAGGAGCACTAGAAACTAGTCCATAAAGCCCCTTGCCTAAACTGGGTTTAATTGGTACCCAACAGTTTAACAGCTCTGAAAGTGAAAATCAGTAAAACGTGGAAAAGGGAACAGTGAAAATTCCAACGAAGGAAGCTACACTTCTTCACATTGAAATCATGTACATTTTGGAGGATGGGAAAAATAAAATATATATCCGTAAAACTATGAAAGAATGAATCGTAATTTTTTCTTGCAAAAAAAACGAGTTGAATGATTGAATTTAATTGGTTCGGAAAATGTTACAAGCGGGAATAAAATACCGTTTGAATGTCTCATATAATGAGGTATTATCATGATGGTTGTTTGGCAATAAATTTATGAAAGATATCTATAATTTAAACATAACAATTCTTTGCATAACGGGAGTTACAAGTGATTCTTGTTCATGTTTAATTTCAGACCACCGACTCTTCTCTAGACCACGGGTTCTTCAGACCACCGTCTCTTCAGACCACTTATGAAGTTTTCAAAACAATCCATACCACGATAAAATAGTGCAGTGCTATGCTAATTTCATTGCTAGGTAAGACAATTTAACTGATCTACGCTAAAGGACTTTGAGGTTCTATGGTGTTGATTGTCAGACTTTATTCACTCGTAGAACTCAACCGGAACCGAAGAACAGACGAGCGCTACTGATGCTAACACCACTTAGGCTATTGGTAAATATAAGTGACAGGGAGCACCAACAACTATATGCTGCACCCGCATAAATGCACTCCACGATGAGCACTAACTAGAGGTTGCACATAAGCACAAACTATGCGCTGCACGATAAATACTAACTATCTATGCGCAGCAACGAACAGGACGGTGAGAAGAAACAGAAATTGTTTTATGTTGGACTGTAACTACAGCACACCGGCGCCATTGATATGACTTGATAATCTCGACATGATAACAGCAAGTAGGTGATAATCTTCACTTACGTACTGTCATCACGCAACGTTTAATTTCATATGAAACTCTGGTCTGGTCAAGTCTCTCTCCGTGCACTTCTCTTCATTGAACAACCAATGTTGCATAACATACTTCTCGTATATTAGACACGAACTTACATTAGTGAGCTCGATCACGAAACATTTAGCCACAATGTCGTACTGCACAAGCACTGTATGCTGCAGCAGGTGAGTAGAGCAGTGTGAGCAGACTTATCGAAATACCGGTAAGTATAACAGGAGATATGAACTTATGCCAATGAGGCATGATTATACAATACTGTAACGACTCCACATACAACATGGCTGGGGACTGCAGCGTACAACATGGCTGGGGACTGCAGCGTACAACATGGCTGGGGACTGCAGCGTACAACATGGCTGGGGACTGCAGCGTACAACATACATTAATGTAGCTGCTGCAGGACTACCTGAGCTCATCCGAGTGCAGGATCTTGCGACTCCAATTGGCAGTTCAATCAATAAGTTGTTTGAGCTCAGCGTGTAGTTCATCATAACTATTTAAGAACAAGCCGATCCCGCTTACTAGTTTCCAAACTAATATTCAGAAACGATTGAACAGAAAATAAATATTGTAACAGACTATTAATTTGTTTCCTGCTCTTTTCCACATTCCAAGTGCATTTACTCTGATTCTTTAGTAGAATAGTTCAGGGGTCGGTCTGCGTCCATGTCATTGCGGTATTGAGGTTTGAATAATGCGATCAAGTTCCACTAGACATCATACAATATATTACTAGACATCATACAACATATTATGCACCAGACAAACATTGGCAATAACCAACGTATTAACACTACACGTATTAAACTCACTATCATCGCGTGGAAAATCAGAACGCGGCAGTATAACAAGAGCAGAATGTTGCTCGAGTTGAGCGTTTCTTGATCTCATGAACACTATAAGCGGTATGTCTGTGACACCTCAGACGTCGTAGTGACTCATAAGTAATGTTATAAGATGGTAAGTAGGAGTAGGAACACAAGTACCGTAGTGATGATATAATATGGGTAAGTAGGAGTAGGAACACAAGAATCGCCGTAGTAATGTTATAATATGGGTAGGTAGGAGTAGGAACACAAGTATCGCCGTAGTGATGTTATAATATGGGTAGGTAGGAGTAGGAACACAAGTATCGCTATAGTGATTCATAAGTAATGTTATAATATCGGTAAGTAGGAGTAGTACTGGTAGGGTAAATTCGCGGCGCATATATTCTACTACGGGAATGCCGTCCTCATAAGTACCCTTCACTGCAGCTCGTCCTGAACTCAGGACTTGAGTATATCCTGCGTCAGCTGACGGCACACATGCTAGCAGCAGGGCGGGCCACGCAGGGTTGCTGATGGGATAATCATTGCATGCGTACAACCAAGGTGACATCACTGCATGCGTACATCCAAGATGACATCACTGCATGCGTACATCCAAGATGACATCACTGCATGCATACAACCAAGGTGACACACCAATATCTACCCTAGAATAAATTTCACGATGGTGGGCCTGATGAAATATCTAGACACAAAACTTGGCCACGACTCCTCAAAAGTTTTGTGCCGGAGTTCAGTTGAGTTCAATACCTGAGAAACTTTCTACCTACGTCACCGAAGGGAAATATTGAAGCAAGGAGAAGCGATGTGCTCAGGAATACAATCAGGGGGAAAGGAAGGCCAAACTAAGGCAAACGAGAATAAAACACAAACTGAAAATGACCAAAAATGTTACATGGACACGCACGAAGCAACATTAAGTTCACAGCTCATTACATATAACGTAACCTAATCAACTTCATTCGAACGTAAATATTACGTGAATAAAGTAAGCCGCCTACTTAACATCCTACTTGTACTAAGAGAGGAAGCATACAAGACATGATATAACATGTGCCGAGAGCAAGGAACCTACATAGAGGGGACTTGTGAGGAGCGCATCATACAACAACATAACGCATACATCTTGCATACACCGCGAGCAACATTGAATGCATTCCTTCACATTTCACTTGCATTCTCGCACAAGCTTCAGAGCTGCACGCCCGGATTACAAACTGCCGTGCTACACCGAGCAGAAATTTTCTTTTAATGCAGTTATTTGCGGCCGGCATTACCGCCCCCGTCGCTTAGCATTACATTTGTTTGGGAATTATGAAAAGATTTATACGTCGCCTAACAACTGAACGTCGTTGCAGTGCCCAGGGGCCATACTTTCAAAATTCGCTAAGTGAACGTAAGTACTTACGCTCTATTTTTTCGTCTATGATTGATGGATTTTGCTTGCTAGGCCGCCAATGATTGGCTGATGAACTTACGATCTCTTAACTTTTTTTGAAAGTATGGGCACAGGCCATCAGCGACCGCCGTGATTTACGTCACTTCGCTTCAATGCTTCACAGACAACAATGGCGCACTCTAGAGAATAAGAACAAAATCATACTACACATTCTCAGCCAACATTCATATCTGCCGACGTAGCGCCGCCAAGTCAAGGATACACAGGAACATTAATTCCTCCATCAAAATAATCAACCAAGAGTTGAACTCGGCGAGAAGAGGGTTGCAACTTATGTGATTAATATCGTTACCGACGAGCCTTAACCATCGCATTCATAACATTAACCTGGCAAACCACCTGCCATTGAACCAAGACTCCAGACTTGTTATATTTGATGCCCCAACAACCTAATCACAACAAACCACTCATTATATAAATCGAGTCGCGAGATTCTGCCACACTTGGCGTGGCCCAACATTAATTGCAGAAGCTTATTAAGTCAGCAAGTCTTCACATAATTGCATAGTTGCGCAAAAAGCTTATAGACTAACACAGATTGTGTTATAGGCTCCGATTAACCACTTCGAAGTCTATGATAATTACTTAAAGTGAATGTTGATTCTTGAGCGCCATGACAATGAATGCTCGCACCACTTCTTAGACACACCAAATTCATTGTCCATCTCAAATTATTCCTTCATCTCGGTAATTTTGTCACAATCCTAGCCTCATCAAGCTTATCTCAACAAGTAATCTTAAACTAGCTTTCGATTGTTTCCATTATCTCAGCCATATTTTCAGATCACAGTGGCAAACATTAAGTCTGATCTGAAGTGGCAAACATCCTTAAATACAACATTTCTTACATTGTGTTTTTTTGGCACATTCGATCACTAAACTTGGTTACAGCAATCAATTGACTGCAACTTGTGTCTTCGCCGCACATCGGACAGCCGCAATCTTCCTCTAGAGAACAAAGCTCAGCTCCTTCAAACAACAAAGCTCCTTCTTGGACGCTCAGCAGATGAACTTATTGCTTCAGGCGCCCCGCCTTGAACTTGGAGACTCGCTTGGGGGCAGCGGTCGTGTCCTCACCACAGGACTCCTGGGCAGGCGTCCCACCGGGGACGTCGCTCACGCCGGCGTCGGGGTCTCTGGCCACGACTTTGTAGCTGAAAGCCTGCACGAGGAAATAGCGTTAGGGCTGAAATGAAACGTTATAACTTCTGGCCACAAGTTTGTAAGAAGATCAACAGGCAATAAGATCAACAGTGAAACATGTTGCGGTGCCCTCAGCATCTCGCCAGGGGAGTGGGTGGGGGCGTGTGGGGAGGGGTGGAGGGGACATGTATACGCACCGTGGGGAGGGGCGTGTGGGGAGGGGTGGCAGAGGAGGGGGGCGCGACAGGCTCGTGGTCGTACACGGTCGTGATGGCGACGCTCTCTGGAGACTCCAGCCACGACACCGCAGCTGCACACGCAACAAACATATAGCACAAGTAACGCAACAATTAATCAGCACAACAAATAATGCAACAATCAGCACAACAAGTAAAGTATCCCAACGTATCCTAGCACAACAAGTAAAGTATCCCAACGTATCCTAGCACAACAAGTATCATCAGTATCCTAAGTGTTTCGGACGTAGCAGCCACAGGCGGCGCTGGAGAGTCGCCGCTGTATTCCGCCGCCTCAGCCCCGCAGGCAAGTCGTCCTGGCTGCCGAGGTCACCTGGGCCAGTTTGTATTTACCACGCATCTGCCCTCAGTTGGGCCAGCTGATGCCCTCAGTTGGGCCAGCTGATGCCCTCAGTTGGACCAGCTGATGCCCTCAGTTGGACCAGCTGATGCCCTCAGTTGGGCCAGCTTAGGACTTCATGTAGGCCAGCTGATGCCCTCAGTTGGGCCAACTTAGGCCTTCATGTAGGCCAGCTGATGCCCTTAGTTGGACCAGCTGATGCCCTCAGTCGAGCCAGCTGATGCCCTCAGTTGGGCCAGCTTAGGCCTTCATGTAGGCCAGCTGATGCCCTCAGTTGGGCCAGCTGATGCCCTCATTTACGCCAATTGATGCCATCTGTAGGGCAGCTGATGCCCTCATTTAGGCCAATTGATGCCATCTGTCGGGCCAGCTGATGTCCTCAGTTGATGCCCAACAAGGCCCTACAGCTGATGCCCAATACCCGCCCCATTATCGACTCATCTCAGCAACAAAATTTATTTCAAATATGTTATAAGAGCTAAGAATATGAGTACGGGTTGTCAGGTGTCACTCACATTTGTTGCCGGGCAGGTTGATGAGGTCTTGTGAAGGAGTTTTTTTCAAGATACTCCTAGGATTAGGTTGAGATGGTGCCTCGCAAACGCCAGCATTTGCAGCTGTGGCAGCACCAGCGGCGGTGGTGGCAGGACTAGTAACGGTGGCAGGGCTAGTAACCGAGTCGATGCGTTGCGTGGTGAGCTTCACAAGATCAGCCGGAGACCTGATGTCGACTGCAGCTCCACAAGACTTGGCGTTATCTTGTTTCTCCATCTCACTTGCTTGCGATGGCGCGGTACAGGAACTAGCGGTGGTGTGAGACGCTGTCGCAGTCGCAGCAGCAGCGGTGGTGGTGGTGGTGGTGGCAGTGTCGCTGGTTTTCTTATGTCCGTCTGCCGTGGTAACCGTAGTTGCGATGTACCTGATCTTAATGTGACCGTCGCCATCATCACTCACCATGGATGGCTGATCTGCCCAGCTCACTCTTCGTGCCACGGGGGGCCGCTTGCCCGACCCCTGGCCGTCGTCCCTGGAGTCCTCACTCGAGTCACGGCCCCCCCGAAGGATCGTGCGTGTGAAACTCAGCGTGCGACCTCGGATTTGTGAATTCACCAACTCGATGTCGGAAATTTCTTCCTCCTCGGTGGGGGTGGTTGCTTGAGCAACAGGGAGAGCTGTACCACCAGCAGCAGCAGAAGCACCAACAGCAGCAGCAGCTACAGCAGAAGCACAGGCAGAAGTAGAACCTGCAGCAGCACCAGCACCCGTGTCGTCGGCAGGAGGCGGTAGATTGTCATCTGCAGCGTACTGGAACTTGCGTTCTGCTGAAGGCATGGGAGACTCTATCTTGACGTGCTTGAAAGTATGTAGGTTCGCCGGTAGATCCTCTTCAGAGTCTTCATCTGAGTCTGCAGCAGCATCAGCCTGCGCCTCGCCGTCATCGTCAGAGTCTGAGTCCGAGTCACTGCCATCACTCTCGTCAGTCTCGCTCTCGTCCCTGAAATGAAGGCCATAATTACGCCTCTCAAAATGGAATGCCTAAACCGGTCACCAACAACCCTGTCGCTACGACAACCAGTGTAGTATAAATTCCAATGCCTGGGCTCACCAGAGGTACATAAGTAAAATGCACGTGTCGCCCACCATTCAACAGACGTGTGTCGCCTGTGACGTCTGTAGCAACTAACCCGCCTGCCTCTTCGTCCTGTGCGCGCTCCTCGAGCTCGAGCTCCTCGAGTCGCCTGAGCCACGCGTCGCTCGCCTGCTGCTCGCCTGACGCGTCGCCGCGGCCCTCGCGCAGCTGCTGCCTGTGCCTGCGCACCATCTCGCGGTGCTGCGCTGTGATACAGTGACATCACACAGCTGGTCACCACAAACAGTGACATCACACAGCTGGTCACCACAAACAGTGACATCACACAGCTGGTCACCACAAACAGTGACATCACACAGCTGGTCACCACAAACAGTGACATCACACAGCTGATCACCACAAACAGTGACATCACACAGCTGGTCANCACCACTCACCCGCCTGCTGCTCACACTCCTGCTCAGTCACGTGCTCGGTGATGTCGTAGCCACCACTCACCCGCCTGCTGCTCACACTCCTGCTCAGTCACGTGCTCGGTGATGTCGTAGCCACCACTCACCCGCCTGCTGCTCACACTCCTGCTCAGTCACGTGCTCGGTGATGTCGTAGCCACCACTCACCCGCCTGCTGCTCACACTCCTGCTCAGTCACGTGCTCGGTGATGTCGTAGCCACCACTCACCCGCCTGCTGCTCACACTCCTGCTCAGTCACGTGCTCGGTGATGTCGTAGCCACCACTCACCCGCCTGCTGCTCACACTCCTGCTCAGTCACGTGCTCGGTGATGTCGTAGCCACCACTCACCCGCCTGCTGCTCACACTCCTGCTCAGTCACGTGCTCGGTGATGTCGTAGCCACCACTCACCCGCCTGCTGCTCACACTCCTGCTCAGTCACGTGCTCGGTGATGTCGTAGCCACCACTCACCCGCCTGCTGCTCACACTCCTGCTCAGTCACGTGCTCGGTGATGTCGTAGCCACCACTCACCCGCCTGCTGCTCACACTCCTGCTCAGTCACGTGCTCGGTGATGTCGTAGCCACCACTCACCCGCCTGCTGCTCACACTCCTGCTCAGTCACGTGCTCGGTGATGTCGTAGCCACCACTCACCCGCCTGCTGCTCACACTCCTGCTCAGTCACGTGCTCGGTGATGTCGTAGCCACCACTCACCCGCCTGCTGCTCACACTCCTGCTCAGTCACGTGCTCGGTGATGTCGTAGCCACCACTCACCCGCCTGCTGCTCACACTCCTGCTCAGTCACGTGCTCGGTGATGTCGTAGCCACCACTCACCCGCCTGCTGCTCACACTCCTGCTCAGTCACGTGCTCGGTGATGTCGTAGCCACCACTCACCCGCCTGCTGCTCACACTCCTGCTCAGTCACGTGCTCGGTGATGTCGTAGCCACCACTCACCCGCCTGCTGCTCACACTCCTGCTCAGTCACGTGCTCGGTGATGTCGTAGCCACCACTCACCCGCCTGCTGCTCACACTCCTGCTCAGTCACGTGCTCGGTGATGTCGTAGCCACCACTCACCCGCCTGCTGCTCACACTCCTGCTCAGTCACGTGCTCGGTGATGTCGTAGCCACCACTCACCCGCCTGCTGCTCACACTCCTGCTCAGTCACGTGCTCGGTGATGTCGTAGCCACCACTCACCCGCCTGCTGCTCACACTCCTGCTCAGTCACGTGCTCGGTGATGTCGTAGCCACCACTCACCCGCCTGCTGCTCACACTCCTGCTCAGTCACGTGCTCGGTGATGTCGTAGCCACCACTCACCCGCCTGCTGCTCACACTCCTGCTCAGTCACGTGCTCGGTGATGTCGTAGCCACCACTCACCCGCCTGCTGCTCACACTCCTGCTCAGTCACGTGCTCGGTGATGTCGTAGCCAGGCTCGCGCTGCACCAGCGACGCGCCCTCCACCCAGCGCCTCTGCAGCGCCTCCGCCTCCTGCGCCCGCCTCAGCTTGTCCTCACAGTCTGCACGCAGTGGCGGGTGCAGTGCGTGTGCAGTGCATGTGCAGTGCGTGTGCAGTGCTTGTGCAGTGCTTGACTGCTTGTGCAGTGCGTGTGCAGTGCATGTGCAGTGCGTGTGCAGTGCATGTGCAGTGCGTGTGCAGTGCATGTGCAGTGCAATATTATAGCTAAATGTTTCGTGATCGAGCTCACTAATGTAAGTTCGTGTATATTATGCAGAAAGTGTGTAACGCAACATTGGTTGTTCAATGAAGAGAAGTGCGCGGAGAGAGACTTGACCAAACCAGATTTTGATATGAATGTAAACATTGCGTGATATGTAGAGATGAATACACTGAGAGCAAACAGAATAAGTAAACACTGCGTGATATGTAGAGATAAATACACTGAGAGTAAACAGAATAGCTTATGTCAGGCAAGAATGATCAGCCCACAGACGTGCCTGTAGGGCTATAGGAGGGTTAAAGGTTCAGGGCTATAGGAGGGTTAAAGGTTCAGGGCTATAGGAGGGTTAAAGGTTCAGGGCTATAGGAGGGTTAAACGTTCAGGGCTATAGGAGGGTTAAACGTTCAGGGCTATAGGAGGGTTAAAGGTTCAGGGCTATAGGAGGGTTAAACGTTCAGGGCTATAGGAGGGTTAAACGTTAAGGGCTATAGGAGGGTTAAATGTTCAGGGCTATAGGAGGGTTAAACGTTAAAGGCTATAGGAGGGTTAAACGTTAAGGGCTATAGGAGGGTTAAATATTCAGGGCTATAGGAGGGTTAAACGTTAAAGGCTATAGGAGGGTTAAACGTTAAGGGCTATAGGAGGGTTAAACGTTAAAGGCTATAGGAGGGTTAAACGTTAAGGGCTATAGGAGGGTTAAACGTTAAGGGCTATAGGAGGGTTAAACGTTAAGGGCTGTAGGAGGGTTAGACGTTCAGGGCTATAGGAGGGTTAAACGTTAAGGGCTATTGGAGGGTTAAACGTTCATGGCTGTTGGTGGGTTGCAAGCAATCATTGCTAGGGAAGTAAAAGATAAAATCTTCTCTACAAGTCAAGTGTCAAGGGAAGTTTAACATAGTAAAGCATTAAGGGCAGTAGATGTGTCAAGAGTACAGGATCAAGGGTTCTAGCAGGGTCAGAGGTTATAACTCGCACCTTTAAGGCGACGTGTGGCGATATCCCGCGCTTTGTAGGCGGTAGTGTTGACGAAGTAACTTTCACCTAGTAGCACCAGCACGCTGTTGGTGTGCACCAGTTGACCAGGCACCAGCGCTGCACCACCTAGAGGCACCAGCGCCTAGTGAATGCAGGGAGGTACTAGGTAGCACAAGCACGCTCTTGGTATGCTAGCATGCACAGGTTACATAGAATAGAAGTGTCGGCACTGAAGAAATAGGCCCATGGCCTTTTGCCGATTCTTTAATTTTTCGTGACTTGATTAACAAGGGAGCCGGCCTCAGGTATCTTTGACCGTGGCACGTCACTGCAATATATTGGCAGGCACGAGGCACGTATATTGCCAGGCACGAGGCACGTATATTGCAGGCACGAGGCACGTATATTGGCAGGCACGAGGCACGTATATTGGCAGGCACGAGGCACGTATATTGCAGGCACGAGGCACGTATATTACCAGGCACGAGGCACGTATATTGCAGGCACGAAGTTACACAAGAGGTCCTAAGTATAGCCGGCACGAACGAGTGCATGGCGTTCGCTGCTGCTGAGCTGCAAGTTAATAATATTAATAATCATAATAATAAGTTAATAAGCAACTCAAAGCTGCCACAGCAACAACAACCCGCTCCTCTTGACGGCACAAACCTCCTACGTCATCACTAGTAATAATAACTGTCTATGAGCAGACGCTTCAACAAACTTTAACCAGCAACATAAGAACGAAACATAACTCAGCGAAGATACAATTGTTGCCACTTCACAATAAATATGAAGAGATATAGATATTTTCTTGATAGTAAACTGCAGTTTTTAATTGCAACAAGCTTCGACCTGTACATCGGCGATGGTCTAATTGGTGATTGAATCGAAAATGAACAGCAAAAACATAGAATAAAAAAGAGGCAAAAATTGCACTAAACATGGCAGAACGATCGGTGATCTTGTGCAGTACATGATCGACTCTCAGAACAGGTGAGAATAACATAAGAACAGACGCAGTGGCAGGTTTAGTGCAGTACATGGTCAACTCTGACAACAGGTTAGAATGACTTAAGAATATTAAGAATAAATTAAGAATATATCATCTACTGCAACAGGTCTTGCAGTAGAAGTAGATGATCAACTGCGGCCCACTTGGTAATGAGTTTGACACCGCAGCTTTATGGCAGGACGGAGGCGGCAGGATACTTTTTCTGGGGCGAACACGTGAGAAAGTACGGTAGTGGTTATGTACACAGCGCGCGCATCACGGCAGCAACTGCTTCACCCGCGCACGACACAAGCACACTGACACCACGCACGACACACGCACACTGACTACCACGCACGACACACGCACACTGACTACCACGCACGACACACGCACACTGACCACCACGCACGACACACGCACACTGACCACCACACACGACACACGCACACTGACCACCACGCACGACTCACGCACACTGACCACCACGCACGACACACGCACACTGACCACCACGCACGACACACGCACACTGACCAAGTTGGGAGCCAGTCCGTTTATCATCTTCCAAGTGTACAGTATGATATACCTTTCCCTTCTTCTCTCCAGTGAGTACAGTTCCAGGTGTTTCAGCCTTCCCCAGTAGTTCAGGTTCAGCTCCCTCATGCCGCTGATCCTGTACGTGAAGGTCCGCTGCACTGCCTCCAGTTTTCGCACCGCACCAGCCTTGAGTGGCGACCAAAGTTGGCAGCAATACTCAAGATGGGGAGCACGAGGGCTCTGAAGAGTTTAATCATTGGTGCTGCTTCTCTCGTTCGAAATGTCCGCCATATCCACCCCGTCCGTTGATGGCTGCGCGCGACTATTTCCTCGATATGGGCATCGAACGTGGCTTCAGTACTCATCAACACTCCGAGATCTCGAACTAGTTGCTTCTTCTCAATTTCTGTGCCATCTGATGCCAATTAAGTAGCGATGTGGCATCCCTATCACTGTGCGGACTCTGTATCTCATTACTTCGAACTTTGTGCCGATCCTTTGATCATCCTGTACCCTATCGCCGTCTTGGTCATCTGTGATCCTCATCAGCACTCTAGCTTTGTATCGTCCGCAAATGACGATGTAGATGAGTGAAGTGTGTTGGAGCCTTCAGTGCTTCAACACACTTCTTCAAACCAGCACGGCCGGAACTCGATTGGGTTCTGGTGCTGAAAAAGTCGCCAATTCTTTGATACTCATTTCATATTTTCTGGTCAAAACTCAATGTTCTCTTGACTCGTTCCGCCTGGCAGCTCCTGGATAATTTCGATTTCATTTTCCTGTCTTGAGTAGCGGGCCGGGGTTACTGAACACTGATTCAAATTGAGATCCCTGTAACTCGCACATGCCCTGGTCATCTCCGACAAGGACATCGTTGTACTTCAGCGGGCCCACTGGCGTCTTTATTTTAATATTTTAGCTTTGGACTGAACGTATATAGGGAAATACTTAGGGTGTGCTGACCTCACATGCTCGTTCCTCGGCAGCTAATCCTTCCGTCCTGTGCGAGTTCAGCAAGCTGCGTTCGGTTTCCTTGTGGAGCACTACTAGTACTTGTCGCCTCAGATCACTAGGGTAATTAGCTATTTGCTTATTCAATCGTGTGCGTTTTCTCGAGATGATTCGCCGGTCTCAAGGAATACTGCGGACTTTAGGGCCGGTTTTTCTCGGGTATGACGCACACACACCTGTGCTGGTTTATCACATAGTTTTGTGTAAATTTCCTCAGCACTCCTCTCAAAAACTCTTTTCTCCAATAGGGTTCAAAATCCGTTCTTCGATGGTGGAAGTTGAGCCCTGGCAGACCCTCTTGGGCTATAGACTGCGGACATCACCATTAGCATGAGCGGCGAACATCACCATTAGCATTAGCATTGCACTCGCTCTTATGCCCGTTTCTCTAGTTTGTTTTCTTGATTTGATCTGTTGTAAACGACGATTTTCTTTGTTGCAACCCTCCCTGTTTATGATGCACCAACACAGCTCAGGATGATAGAAGGGGCAATCCTTAATTTTTTACATATTATAGGGTGTGAAAATTTGCATCCTTCACCATTCTTCCCGTATTCACATTTATTTTGAAGGTAATTCCAGCAAATAACTTTCCAAACACGTGGCCTGCCTGAGGGTACCGGGATATCAACTTCTTGGGGGGAGGGTAAGGTCGGGAAAGATGATGGCAAACCGATCTCTCACACAACACAAGCAATGCATCACAACATCATAATCCCTTGCAGCAGCCCTGAATGGATTAAAACTATTCGGACTCCTTGCATATTAAAACTTAGAACTAAACACTATCAACGTGCGGGACGGCAGCCCGTAGCACAGCAATGGCTGCTTGTGAACGGCTTGCTCTAACAATTCAGTCCAGATTTGATTGAAACAATTTCTTTTCCTCAGGGGTGAGCTGATATATGTCTTTTTAATAAGTGTTGAAGACTTTAATAAAGATACCGGTACCTCTATAATATACAAATAAACACCAGACTTCAACAAATCTTGTGTAGGTACATATATGACAAACCAACTGAAAACCATTTTAATGGAAAACTGTTAATGTTTAATGGAAAACTGTTAATGTTAATTTTAATGGAAAAATTTAGCAAATTTCATTTTTGTTTGCCATCAGCAAACTGCAAGACCAAATAAGGTACAGTTGATGCGTTCAGTGATCTGAGTGATGAGCTGTTAAACATGTATATAAATCTTGACTGCCACAGAAAACATTCTGCACGCAAACTAAGTAAGCGTGCTGTTTTATACAGTACGGTAGTGTATACAGATAACTGGCACTAATTTGTTCCACTTCTCCCAGGAACCCAGAGTTGAGGTAGAACAAATATCATTTAATACATTAAATATTTACATCATTTGACTACATAAATTACAAATTATCAATAAATTAGTAGGTAGTTAATTAACTGGTACCACAAAATATCTAACAATTCATAAGATTTTTACAGAAGTTATTTTAATCAGAACTCCTGCATATTTCTTAGCTTAATATTTCTACATAATACACACAGTGAGTGTGGACAAGGCTCTTGTCATGTTTTGGTTTGATATCTTGCAAGTAATAAGAGCAGGCAATGCCTTATTTTATCAATCACTTCATACCTTGACACTTACACCTCACATTGCCTATCATCAATACCTACAAAGTTAGGATGCAGCACTCACATCATGGGAGAGTTTGGTGGGCAGGACGGTGAGTGTAGACAGAAGGCTCTTGTAGTCCTGCACGTAGCGCTGCAGCCTCTCTACATCACCGGCAGCAGAGTGCAGGTGCTGAAATATAGAGACAGGTTAGCAGACATTATGTCTGCAGCCTCTGCAGGTGCTGAAATGTGGGAGACAGGTTAGCAGACAATATGTCTGCAGGTGCTGAAATGTAGGAGACAGGTTAGCAGACATTATGTCTGCAGGTGCCTAAATAGTGATATCAGCTTCCCAACCCAAACAGTGAGGTCAGTTTCTCAACCCAAACAGTGAGGTCAGTTTCTCAACCCAAACAGTGAGGTCAGTTTCTCAACCCAAACAGTGATGTCATTTCCTCAACCCAAGCAGTGATGCCATTTCCTCAACCCAAACAGTGATGTCAGTTTCTCAACCCAAACAGTGATGTCATTTTCTCAACCCAAACAGTGATGTCAGTTTCTCAACCTAAACAGTGAAGTCAGTTTCTCAACCCCAAAAATTGTGTTTAAATAGATCACACACAAGCCTTATATTTCTTCTCAAATTTAGGTAGGAAGAGCTCTGAATAAAACATATCAATGTTGTGCACCAGCAAAGCAACAAAAATTGGGTAATTGATGAGCTTGAAATCAATTCACTTACCTGAGTATGTATGCGTTGCAGCAATTCAAGGTTTTGTTTCTTTTCTGCTTCATTTTTCATACCTAATAACTTAAAACAAGTAACACTGAACTGTTTGCAAAAATGGCTAATGAATATTCAACTACACCACAAGAAAGTTCAAATTTAATATTCAATTCAATTTAATGTTTTATAAATATACATAATGTATAAACCAGATCTTCAGCTGTAAATGACCCTAGCTCAGAAAAATCAACGTTTTTACATTGTGATTCCAGAGTCAAATAAATGAAGTAGTAGGTAAATTTCAAATTATTAGGCTCAATCTTGAAGTTTCATAAATAATGAGATTGAAGATAACTCATCTAACAGGAAACTTGTAGCTTTATAAATGGCAGGAATTCTCAAATCATGACTCAGTTCTTGCTGTGAAAATTGTCACCAGCCTTATTCATCAATCAGGACAGTTTGACCAATAATGTCCACGCCCCACAGTGATACAGGGTGACAAGGATGCAAAATATATTACATCAAGTTTCCAAGATGTGGCATGGACCTTCTTGGAAATTTTATAGGTGTAAATATTGCTGCTTGATGAGATGTCTACTCTCTAATTGCATGTGGCGTGTTTGAAATTAGGCTAATTTAATGCTAAAATACAATAGAATCTTTATTTGCCAGTTCCTGGTGGTGTACTATTAGACTTTTTAATTGCTCTTCCTTTACGAGTCATTTTAGGAGACCAGGAGATAAGGATACTAGCCCAGACTGTAAAGTAAGGCACATCATATGGTGAGGATGCCAAATTTGTTGCATCAAATGCATCATGTTTTGACAGACCATGGCCTCCATCATGCCTGGGTGACCACCATAGATCATGATTTATGAGCAATACTATGGCCAGAGGCAAATGATTGATGCAGTTGATGATCCCAATCACATCCAGCATATATATGATTGATGCAGTTGATTTATATCGATTAAAAATTGCAGCTGATATCAAGCCATGAGGCATCAACAGATTATCTAATTAATTGTTTGCAATTAGATGTGAAACTTCACATGGATCCCAATGAGGCCTAACTGGAAAATTGGGCAGAAGCAACCCGCAGAGAAAATCAAGTCTAGGCAGCAGTAATTGCCCAATATGTGTGCTCCCAAGATCAATGAACCGCGTACGTTCCGTATCTGACAAGGCGGACAACCGGAAGAGTCAAAAGTAACCCGGACATGTCTTTCATTTCATTATTGTCAGTTCGACTCGCGTAGTCAATATACTCACGTATATTGTCGACTAAAATAGTAGAACTATTTTAGCTTTCTAAAGTACGGCGCACGGCGCATTTTTTTACCAACGTAGTACGGCGCACCGCGCAGGTCGTTAAAATGACAAAATAAATTCCCGCGCACCTGGCACATCTTCTTGACCATGGCCCCTCATATCTAATTTTACCCTAGAAACAGTCAACACTAACATTTGTCTTCACTTCAGTGGCAACTGGCAACTGATGAGATAATGCAGTCTTTACCACTGTGCAGAGAGTGGGCAAATATTGCAAAATCTTAGGCAATGCTTCTGCAGCTAAATTTATGACTTCGGAAGATCTTGTGACACATTTGGATTGAAATTATTGCATTCTAGATATTCACCAGTCTTCGGCCAAGTGCCAACTATTTAGAAAAAAGTAAGGTTTCTGATAAATTGGATGGATGCAGTGAACTGAGTGAAGTTTGTCCAGAAATCAGTTGCGATCAGTTCCCACCAAAATATACTGCAAAATGTAGACAAGAAGTAGTTGCGGACTTGCAGTCACATCAGAGTAGGGTAAATGCGGTATATTCCGACATTGTAGGTAATTCCGTCACCTCTCCAGCTTTTCCTTTATATTAAGCTTTGTTTTAGTTCCATGTGTTCATTGATGGTTGAAATGGTGACGTCATAGTCATACATTTGCGTGTCTAAATACTGCAAAAACACTAGGTCTTGGCCATCTAGTGGGAAAATATTGAGATCCAAAGAGAGACAATGCATGCCACGTGGTGAGATCATCGTAAAATGTGTCAAATTTGACAGTTGACATGGCTCTACCAAATAGTGAATAACTGTTTTTATAGGAAGAATATTATGGTTTGAGACTTTTAAATACGTCTGTGAATATATTAGGAATCCTTCAAGTATACTTGTATTTGCTGATTTCAAGTCGTAAATAAATTAATAGATGATTAAGTTGAGATGTTGCTTTTAGACACATGAAAACTAATTCATGTTCTAATTCAAAGCCGTGTTGTATCCCAATACAGCTCACACAGCAAACAGAATTCGAACACGTGGATGTCGGCAATACGTATCAGTTAAATTTGAAACGCTGACACAATACGACTCGCCACGTGTCGAATGTTGCCACACAAAGTGACGGAATATAGGGATTTGGTAGGTTTCCATTCTAAAGGCTTTTTAATAAATATGGCAACATTTTGTGATGTTTCCTCGTTGCTGACGCGTAGTGAAGTGTTTTGAGAGTCATGTGAAGGCAACAGAACTTACGTAATGCATACATTTTTTTTATAGTTTTTCATTTCTCGATGCGTCCTTAATGTGTCGGAATATACCGCGTTTACCCTGGTCAGTGGTCAGACTGCATTATCACATGTTCAAAAATCAAACTTCAGACGATGTTTAAGTGAATACATATGTTGGTGTACAATCTTACTACCGCTTTTAAGGTAAAATTAGTTATTTTGTTTGCAAAGTGCAAACCACGATTTTTCAAACAAAAATTTATGACATTCAAGCCGCGAGATTTCATACCTACTGAAATTATATGATATTAGAGCCACGATATTTCAGACAAAAATAGGACTTTTCCAGCCCTGGCACTAATGAGTGAGATGGTGTGACCCTGCCAGGCCAGCCTTCCAGCCTCCAGGTCTCAAAGTCCCTGAAAGGCTGACCCTGGCAGTCAGGCAAATGAGACAATCAACAATTTTATTCCCAGCAAAATCCTGAAAATCGTCCGAGTGGAAGAGGATTTGAAGACTGGAGAGGGCCCAAGGGACAGTAACTGCATTATCTGCATACAAATGATACAACTCGAATGTTCAACCATGACTGCATGAGAACTTGTGATATTAGAACCCAGGCAAGGGCAAGGAGTGGAGTCTGTGGAGATGCTCAAGAGAAGAACTGGTGATTTCATCAGTAACCTAACATCAGTAACATGATTCAATAACTTCAATTCCCTCGACTGTCCATTATCCATAGTGTCCGACGCTCCGACACGGCGTCGACACTCGACGGCGTCACGGCGACAGCCTGGCCTGCCAGTTCATTTATTTGAAATTCTGTCTATGTACAAAATTTTAGTGGAATTTCATAAGGATTTAATCAATATGGACCTGGAAGAAAAAGGAAGGAATACTTCCAAAGTTACCTTCAGACACTTTTCATTTAAGTTCTTAACAAGAATTGCCTGTTACTATTCCGAACTCAACATTGGCAACACAGAAATTCTGAGAAAGATCAACGAAGCAATACCGCCTTCCGCAAAAAAATTGGGGATCAATCCGGCCAGAATCCATCAACGAATTCTCTGTTTAGTGTGGGTCGCCTGCCGAAGACCGCCACTGCCCTGGATGTAATGGACCATCATGATTCCTGCCTTCCGGAACGTAGCCTTCAACACTTCAAGCCGTCGGTTTCTAGGCCGTGGGTCGAACCAGCCCTCGGTCGAACGGCCACTTGTCGAAGGACGATAAATTTTGGAACAGAACTATGCTATCTGAAATCTAACCTTAGATGCGGTGAACGTAAAATTACGTAATTTAACGATGCCCGGAAGTCAGATTCGATCCACGGCCTGGTGGTGCACGGAAGGTTCTATGCGAGGCCAGAGGAAGACAAAGCCGAGTGGTTCACGGCTGATTGGTGGATGTCCTGAGAGATCCAAGGCGTTCGATTCAGGGCTTATTGGTGCACAAAATTGGTGGTGCACGGCTGCGCTCCCGTTTAGAGTGAATAAATTTTCAGCATATGTAAATAATTTGATTCTCGACGAAGCTGTAATAGGCATAACAGACTGGATAATCATAATGTCAAAAGCTTGGTCATGAAGCAGTTCTTCGTCGTCGTCCGAAACATTTGCACATTTATAACAAATTGACCAAAGAAGTATCCGAACGAAATTATAATAAAAGGATGCTATCTCCCGCCTCTGCAGTAACCCTCATATTAATACTTGATACTTGATAAGTTCAGTGTAAAAGGCCTTGCGGCCTGTTCACCACGCCTGGTTGGGGGGTTGCTTCTTGACTATTGGCATAGTTGGGTTGCTTCTTGACTACTTGTCGCATGCGTGGCTAGCAGTTAGTCTAGAAATGCCAAAAGGGGAGCTAATGACAGCATTCGGGGTCGTACTGTTCTCTGCGTGTTGCCCAGTGCTTGTCGAGCCTGATCTTGAAGGCGTTAATAGAGGGGGCAGTGACGACGCTGTCCGGCAGGCTGTTCCATATTGACACGACTCTGTAGGAGAAGTAGCCAGCTCTGACGTTCAGTCTGCAGCGGCCCTTGGCGAGTTTCAGGCTGTTCCCGCGGGTATCTCTGCCGTCGTAAAGGTGCAGCAGTGGGCGGTCAGCTTCGTAGGCGCCGTGGACGTACTTGAAAACGTCGATCATGTCCCCCCTTAGTCTTCTGTGCTCCAAGCTGGGTAGACGTTCTGGGACTCCAAGCTGGGTAGACGTTCTGGGACTCCAAGCTGGGTAGACGAGGTGAGGCGTTCTGGGTACGGCTTGTCCTTGAGGCTTGCGATAAGCTTGGTTGTCCTCCTCTGAACGTCCTCCAGGTCGGAACACAGAGTCTTGTGCCTTGGCTGCCAGACTGAGTGGCCGTACTCAAGCATCGGTCGAACGAGGGATTTGTAGAGCTGGATGAAGATCTCAGGCGTGATGCAGTCGAAGGTTCGCCTTATACCACCCAGTACTCTGTTTGCCTTAGCTGTTGCTTGCGCTACTTAGCCTTTAAAGCTCAGGTCCCTGTCGATCACTACTCCTAGATCTCTTTCGGTGTCAATTTCCTTCAGTGGGGTC